CGTCAAATAAATTTTGGAATGAATAAGCACGGCGGTCGGTTTGAGTTGCACACAATTATGCAATTATGTATTTTCAAGTACATATCGATGGCTGAGTGGAAGATCGACCTATCTCGGCTGCCAGTTCGAAAACGCTCTATCTCAAAAAACTTTTCAAGAACGCCCTATTTCAGAATTTTATTGAAAAACACCCTATCTCAAAATTCGGTTCAAAAATGCCCTATCTCACTTCAAAATGTATTGAAAATATGCTGTTATAGGGCGTTTTTGAATCGGCAGCTGAGATAGGGCGTTTTTCAAACGAATTCTGAAATAGGGCGTTCTTGAAAAGTTTTTTGAGATAGAATGTTTTCGAACTGGCTGCCGAGATAGGTCGATCTTCCACTCAGCCATCGATATACATATGTACACCGAGAAAAAAAAACCAGTACATTCAACAATTTTATATGTATTTGGAACAACTTTTACGGGTTAAATCGTACCCAACAACTACTCGCTTTGAAGCAACAGCGCAAAGACTGTTGATTTTTTAACTAAATTAGTATTTAACACAACAATTTTCCCATTTAGATTAAAAGTGTATAAATTGTTGTTTTAAATAGTTTTTATTTGACTTAACAAAGGAGGTCGTTGCAACAAAAATATGAAGCTGTTGAATTAAATACTTGGACTCTGAGGTTCCAAGAACTTACGTATTTGATTCAAATACTAATTTGTTGGGAGAAAAGTGAAAATTGTTGGAAAAAAGGTGCAATCTTTCTGGCTTACACTAAGAAATATTTTAATGTAAACTCAATTGATCAATTGGTTTTGGTTTGAAAGAACTTTTTATTTAAACGTTTTAAGTATATATGTATACAATATAATAAACTATACAATGTAAGTTTATTTTGTACATATTTGGAAACTAAAAAATAATTATTGCAACAAGTACTGATCAGTTATTGGAGTTTTATGTTCCTCATTAAGATGAAAAATTAAAGTTTTTGATAGCGCGAAAAAGTTATTATAAATAGAGTATTGGTGGAATAAGTACTTTTCAGTGGACATTATTTAATTTGGAAAAAAAAATTGGTAATTTTAGAAACTTCTCTTCAGAAGAGATTTCAAATAAAACGGACTTTTTTCCGCACATATTTACTCTTTGCTGAATATTCTAAATTAAATGTGAAACATAATTTTATTACCAGGTCCAGGACGCGAAGTAAGGTTGGTACCTTGTAGCGTAACCCATTCAAATAGACGTAAAGCTCTGACAGATTTTCGACTGAATCCCAATAACAAAAACTTTGGGCTGTAGTTCTAACTTTTCTTGGATGGCACACTCTTTCATTTCTTTTTCCTTTTATTTGAAATTATTTAAATTTACTAAATATAGTATGTACTATCATGTCGTTTTGAGCGTCAGATATTGATGGCTTGGATATATTACTGATTCGCGGAGGTAATATTATGGAGTCCAATAAATTAAACAAATAAAAGTGCTTTGAATCGAGGAAATAATATATGGTCGTTCTGCAAAACCACATAACTAGCATTTTTCTCCCAAATATTGGATTTGCTCACACGAGCTCTTGGCTTAAGCCTTATCCATTCGTCCTGAAATATATTAGCCAGAAATGCGATTGTTATATAAAAAGGAGAGCCATTTTGAAATTTTAGTGTTTTTACTCTGTATAAAATAATTTATACAACCTCACATGCGCGGTTTCGCATTTTGGTGAGCGCTTGTTCATAGTTTTTCTGGATCAGTTTTCAGTTTTGGTCCTTGTTTTGCATTCTTCTTTCTTTTTGCGATTTCTAGTGCCTTTACCTGCCTTTTGCCATTTTATTTTCCCTCCTTAATATAATCAGTTCCCTGGCAACACTGGATCTTAAATTTTAGTTTGGTTTTTGTTCTCCAGACGCCACTATTCAATTTCTATGTAGAATTGCTCGGTGATTCAAACAATCGAGTTAATGTTTTTCTATGGATACGTTATCGAGATATTTGCAATTTACGGTTATTCAACTTAAAACAAAAAGTGGTTCCACTTAATCACGTATATCTTACGAACCAATTTAACAGTCTTAATATGAAATACGGCGAATGAAAGCTAATGAAATTGTATACATTCACTTTCCGATAGAACTGATAGTTTCTGACAAATTAATCATTCCAGTTTTTTTTGTTATTTTTTAATGAAAAAAATGAAAAAAAAATCAAACTTTAACAGAAGAAAAATTAAAAAAATAACAGGCTTTGTGCCAAATTTTTACATCTGTGCTAAAGCTTTTCAAGTTACTACTGAAGAAAATCGATGGTTAAATAAAGAAATAATAGTGGTCAAATGAAAATATGCAAAGATTTTTTGTATGAAAAATGAGCAGGAAAGAAAGTTACTCATACGCCACGTACACCTCAGTAACACGCTTTACTGCTCATATTTCATACTATCGAAGGCGGTGGTACCAATTACAACCTTTTTTAACTTTTTTTTCAATCGCCTCGCATTATTAGCAAAATTTTCCATTACTTATTCTCAATCATCTCCCGGTTGCACGACTATACTCAACCCAGGCTATTGAAATCTTGGGTCTCGGTGGAAAGAGAGGATCCGACGGAGGGGCCACTCCGATTTATTCGGTTTAAAGGCTCAAGCGGGCGTCTGTTGTCTTGCAACCACCTTCCCGCTATATAAAAGAACATTTTTAAAGACTATCCCAGGGGGAAGGGGAACTGAGCCCAATGAATAGGGTAAATACAAATAGATGGAGATTATATATTAGATTCAGTACTCAATCCGCTGATACTTCGCTGTATTTACGAATTCTAATACGCACATAATTTTTTAAATTTGTATTCCCTACCAGAACAGACTGGGTAAATACTCCTTACCTGGTATATTGGGTAAAGTTTCTATGAATTTCTTAAAAGCAATGTGAAAATTTTACCGTATTCGACTGTACATTTTTAATGGTCATGTGAGGTTTTGCACTGTTCTGACGTTTGTTTATAGGAAATTTTCGAAGTAATTTGTGCTTGTGTTAGAGATTTGAAAAGGAAAATGTATGTAAATGTGCTGGAGTATAGGGTAAATTTTTCTGGTAGAGTTTGTTACATATTTTTTTAGAATTGCAAGCTACATCCTTTAGCATTTTCAATTGAAAAAAGGATAACTACAAAGAACTGTGTAGCAAATGTCGGATGGAATAATTGACTGACTATCCTAAACTGCATACGAATGTCACTCATACGACACGACATCCCACAATGTTGTGACTCCATATAAGCGGTTGACAAAAATACATATACAGTATCGGTCATATCTATAGCACGCCATTTCAAAGTGATATTGTGTGCCACTTGTGTTTATTTATTTATTTTTAAGAATTTTCAAATAAAATAAATTTTTTTCTCTAATGAAACCCATATAAACCCAGGTTTAACCATTTGTAGAAAACTACAAAAAAGTGGAACAAATTCTCATATAAATTTCAAACTTTTTTCTCGGAAGTGTTAGAATTTTTCTGAATACACAGTTTTATAGCCCAATCAATTTTCGTCTGATAATGTGCAACTTTCAAGTAGCTAAAGGTTACCGCTGATTTTTTAGAATTTTTTTCGCCAAAGGCGTTGCGGTTTTCTTCCATATACAAATAAATTGAGTTTATTCATTATATGGAAGCCAATGCGACAAAAAAAATTCTAAAAAATTAACGGTAATTCGTAGCCACTTGAAATTTGCACATTATCAGACTAAAATTGCAGGGGCTAAAAAACTGTGTACTCAACAATCTAACACTTCCGAGAAAAAAGTTTGAAATTTAGGTGAAATTTTGTTGCACTTTTTTGAAGTTCTCTACAAATTGTTAAACTTCGGTATATATGGGGTTTGTCTGAGAATGAACTAAATTTTAATTGAAAATTCTTAAAAAAAAAATAAATAAACATAAGTGGTACACAATATCACTTTGAAATGGCGTGCTATAGATATGACCGATACTGTACGTACATTAGGATTTCCCTTAGCTATATGGAGAAAATTAAAAGTGTTTGGATTATCGGTCTCACCCCCTAGAAATGTGTGAATAGCCTAAAGACTAAACTATACAAAGTTTTAGGTCAATCAAAAAAGATTTAGAGGTGGCTCAAAACGCTCAAAGTTTGCCATGTATTTTCGTAGAAATTGTATAGAATCCTTGAATAGCAATTTTTTTTCAAAAAATACTACCCAAATGGTTATTTAAAATTTGTTTAATATTGACGATTTTGTATGGGTCCTCCCATTGCATACACATTTAGTAAAAGTGGAATTTAAATATATTGCAAACTTCGCAAAACAAGAGATAATTGAAAAAACCCACTAATGATATATCCGCAATTAGCGACCTCGAAGCATTCGCACATACGTTTGACCCGAATGCTTGATATTCGCAACTCAAAGTAAAATAGCGCTCTCTCCCGACGGTACTTTGGAAAAAATTATTTTTCGCGAGTCCTTCGATTCGACACCCATGGAAGAGTAAGGAAAGGAAGAGCGGACTTGAACGCAGTAGAAAGGTCAAGTGCGGCTACACCTGCTGTTGTTGTAACAGCACAAAAATTCGCCAAAGGGTTTTCGGAGAATGACCCTAGAGTGACAGTCCTTGGCCGGATATAAATCTGGGTCGCTACGGCTATTACCGAAGCATAAGTGCGGAAATTTTCCAATTTTGAGTTATTGGGTTGACTTGATTAAACTTTGGATGTTCTATGTTATACCAAAATCCAGAATACCATGCGTACGCGGAAACCTCATACTTTACAATGTCTCATAAAAAACTTCTAAACTTGATTTCCCTACATTTTCATTTTTACCCATTCATGTTTCTGGCATAAGAGGGACGATATGTATGTCTATAAGTCATATTGTAAGTTTAAATTGAAATAGTGAAGCAAATCTTACTCTAACTCTAATTTAGATATGCTTTATTCTATCGATCACCTAAGCATGCTGAAAATAATTTGTGCTACATACCTTCGCAAATGTAACCGATCTGAATGATACCCCAAATTAGATCCGAACAGTGATGACAGTACGTTGGCTTTCCAAATGTCTTCTTTACGAAAGTATGTCCACCATCCGCCATTTTGCGAGTTCTGTGTGGATTCTTTCGAATATCGGACGTATCGCTGGGTCGCACGTTGGCGGCGCGAACACACCAAAATAACGACGACAGCGATAATCCACGGTGGCAAGTTCAATTCGCTTATCTTTCTTTCTCTGTCCGCAAGGGGTTTTTTTTTTTTTTGAATTTTCGTCACTTATCTGGGTATTTCAGCAATTTCCTTTAATTAGTCACCGTTTTATGTCCCTCAAGTTTGGTTGCGACTGAATGTCTCGGCTATAGGATTTCAGATCGTCTGTGCTGTTGTTGTTGTTGTTTTTGTATGGCGTAATCACTCAACTCCACGAAATTAAACCACAGAATTTATGCAGATCTCTCTTCAAGCTTTCGCTTGTGGTACTGTTGCCACTACTGCTGGTACTGCGATTACCCCAGCCCCGCCGAAAGCCGCTTGTGAAAGTGGCAGATTACGAAACGTCGCACAACGTCTTTTACGAGTTGTTTTTGTGAATGTGCTAGTTGCTGCGATTTCTTCTCTACTTGTCCTATCCTCCGTTGTACCAGATATTGCTGAATATGTTTTGCCGACTTTCTGGTTTTCACTTTGGGCTTCTGTGATAGCACTTCTTTCTTTATTAGTTGTTTCTGCTGACTTTGTTGTTTGAATTGTCGCTTTTGCGTTCGATAGTAATGATGACAAAATGACGACGACGAAGACAAAAATGACAGCGACAGCGGCATTTTCATCCATTTGTATGCTTCATCCAGACATATGGACTGGATCCTGGAAATCAAAAATGAACAAATTATTTACATTATATTTCGCAAATGGAGCTGAACTGAATGTTATCATTTATTATTTTTAAATACATATATAATTTCATTTGATTCGGTAATGTCCTATAGTCAGGTGTTTACTAATCAGTCATTTTAAACTGAAGTTAAGACGAAATTAACTAAACTAAATTAAACTTTCGAAGGACCTAAGGATGTGTATATGTATGTACATTAGACTGCATCACTCCCCATACAAAAAAAAAAAAAAAAAAAATCGGTACTGTTTTCTATTGAAATTATAAAATCGATTATATTTTAAGACGTCCACCAAAATATTTCGGAAAAATATTAAGATTTAAGCGAGCTGGACCGATTTGAAAATACCTCCAAAAATGGAGCTTTTTATAAATAAAAATAGTTTCTTAAAGAAGTTTTTTGAAAAAATCTCCTCAAATGACAAAACGGTTTAAGCTTGAAAAATTTACATAAACATATTAAAAAAAAACAAAAAAAAATTTCAACGGAATGAGATTTTTGATGCTGTTTTTTCAAAGATTGGTATAAAAAAAAAAACTTGAATAACTGAACCTAAACCCTTCCGATTTAGACTTGTGAGGTATCACATATCATGCATAGGTATCGAAATATGTAAGGTACTTATGGCTTCGATTATCTCTTATAGTCTATCTCTCAAGAGTTAAAACGGTTATAATACGATTAATGCAAATAGCTAATCTGTGTTGACGACGCACAGTGGACAAATCAATTTTGAGAGCCCCAATATGAACCGATTTCAAGTTTCCTTTTTTTAAATAAAACATAATTACATTTCGCGTCGCTCGCTCTATCCGTGATGGTTTTTTTAAAAAAGCTCTGGATTTTATTTATTTATGTTGAAAGATGAAAGAAAAAAAATTTACGTTTGAGTGCTTCCACTTTTTTTGGAAAATACTTGAAATTAATTTCAAAAGTCAATTCATTTGTTATCTATACTAATATATGTTTTGAAAGCCGTTTTTTCTGTTCGAAGAACTCGAGAACACCCAATTCGTGCCCATAAATCCAAACAAAGTATTGATTTTGCGGTTTTATTTTCTTGGGTAGGCTAAAATGATATTTCAGCTATCGAAATATTTCCACGAAAGGGCCCGACCTTTTGCATCTGTTTGTATGATAAAAGGTGAAGTGTTAGTTGACGCATAGTCCTTATTTCGTGGACGAGGGTCGTCAACGTGTGGGGGGCCAGTCATCGAGGCCATTTTGTTCCTTTCATTGGTAGGCATTTCTACGTGGCGGGTCCCAAGCCTAGCGCACAACCATTACTGTGATGAGTGCCTTTCAACCGGATACACGTTTATATAGCGAACCGCTTGCTGCAGGACAGACGCCCGCTTGCAGCCGCACCTAGTGATGAGCAGACGCTGCAGACTTCGGTGAGCTCTTAACCGGTTAAAGGGCCGGTTAAAAGGATTTATATAGGGGGCGTGACATCTAACAAATAGACTAAAATGTAAAAACCACTATATCTCTGAAACCGAATATGCTGGGGAACTGAAACTTAGCACGGATGCATAGATTGTACCCTACTTACGGCGAAAAATGGTAGGTCCTGGAAAAGTGGGCGTGCCAGCTAAGTTATGGAAAGCAGTAGTCTCTAAAAAATCGGATGTAAACAAACAGTAATTTATTTTTCAGTTTTTGTACCATTTTTCTTGCTTTTTGCCTATTTTCTGATTGTGTTTGCCTTTTCGTGCCTATTTCGCTATTTTATTTTGCTGTTTTGTAGGTTTTTACCTCCAAAAAGTACATACCCTGGCCATAAAAATTCTCCTACCCTTATTAGCCTCTACCAGTGACAAAGTAGTGGCATTTTGACGATAGACGATACCACTCCCCAGCAAGCAAAAAATCCGAAAACCGATCCGAAAAACGACAAAAAAGTGGATGAAGTGCGGATTTTTCTTCTGGTGAGGCGACATCTATCTCTAGAGCCGCCGTGCCCAGCGCAGGGCACTTGCCTATTAAATTCTGTCAGCGCAGGGAACTTGCTTATGGAGTTCTGCCGGCGTTGGGCATGCCTGCTCTAGAGATAGAAGGCTTTGAAATTATTTTTTTTTGTATTATATAACTTGGAAGTTTAGATGTTATTAAAATGTTAAAATATTAGTTATTATTTGCTCCATATGAAAGTGATCGGTATTTTCATCGCACACGCGCCATCGTGTTATGCACGACTGCATCCTCGCCTTTACGCGATGCGCACAACTACTTTGTTTTGAACTCTTCAATATTTTTCACTGTTTCACCTGTTTTCTTCAAGGATCCTTTGACAATTGATCAATATTCCTCAATAGGACACAGCTCTGGGCTATTGGGTGGATTGCAGTCGTGAGGTACAAATTGATGTTATTTGCATTATACCACGGCAATGTGTCCTTGGCATAGTGGCAGCTTGCCATGTCCGCCTAGAACAGTGGCCTCCTACTCCTTATCTGCTGATAAATGACAGAAGACGCCTTTTGAGGCACTCATCCCGATAAACTTGATCATTCATTGTCCTGGATGGGAAAAAGGGCTGCTCTTACGGCCACAGGAACAAATAGCTTGCCAAACCATGTTTTTTTTGGAAATTTGGACTTCATTTTCAGCTTACAACTTTCAGGGGCATCTTGATGACTTGCAGCAGTATAAAAATCTTGACCTGCAATATATTTTGAATTTTTAAAGCAGTAGGTTTCGTAGTCCATAACAATGCAGTTTTTTTTTTAATTTTTTTTTCATAAATGATCACTTAACAACCCAATCGAAGTACATTATAACCCGCTTAACTAATATTTTTTAATTGCTACCCTATTTAAACCATATTTTCAAAATTGTTTTCTATTAGCCCGGCCTAGTTAGATTTTCAAGGTTGCAGTAACTCGCATACAGCTGAAAATCGGTACTAATGTTACGAACGTCGTTATAAATGTAATTCGAAAAGTCCTTAGTCATTAGTAAAAAAAAGTATTCGAGGTCAAAGGTCACATACATACATTGATGTTTACAATTTTTCAGCTAAAGCGCAAGGTTTATCATAAAAATAAGTCAGACAAAAGTGTAGATCATGCAATTATCTTTAAAACCCGTTGTGACACTTTTTGTCCTAAGAGTCTATTTCTGGGAGTGTTTTTCAATATGTGGCGTTTTAGATATTTCAGTTTCGAAGCTATTTAAGTCCTTTTTCATTTCATAAAAAACTTGTTCAATTTGCATAAGCGGTTTGTTTATTATCCGGAAAGGAATTTTATTTCGGAATAATATTCGCAACAACCCTGATACATTCCTTTCTTTAAACTGCTTTATCTTAGAAACCATTTAACGAAACTTAATGAAAAAAATGTAATTTTTCCGTCTTATTATGGGCTTTAATTGTACATTAATGTGCAACGTTTAAAAAAACAAAAAAAAATTAAGAAAACATTTTTCTTTTTAAATTATTATTTTTTGATTATAGCATTTTTACAAATTTTTTTTTTGCAAATACATAATTCAATATTAGTTGAAAAATCATCTAACTTTGACCAATTAACTATTTCAGCATTTAATACTAAATAATTTTAAATTGGTTGAAAAGACATCTACATACTGGCTTTGAAGTGCTTTAAACCAAATGCATTTTAAATTGGTTTCAGAGTCGGACAATCGACTTGCTGCTTGCACGCAGTTTAAACTGGACATTTGAAAGCATATTTTTATGTCGGGCTGTAGCTGAGCGTGCAGATATACCTGCTGTTACTTGTTAGCTTCCAGAAGGTCCGGGCTCGAATTCCAATAGAGACAACATGTGAAAATTATAATGAAATTTTTTTTGTGTCTTGGAATTAGGAAAAAGCATCTGTGAACTGCTGAATAAAGTGTATAAAAACGAAACATAAGTGCTTTAAGCCAAATTCATTTTAAAGTAGTTGAAATCAAATTCAGAGCCGGATAATTGACTGCTTCCAATGCCATGTTAAAGTAAACAGTTCCTTCCAAGAAAATAGGTTCTTCAATTACTTGTGGTGGATTAAAAAGTGGTTCAACATTAATTTTTAAACTAGTTTCTTTCCGTACTGGGTATGTATTGCTGCACTCCTATTGTAATACGAACAAACTTGTTTGTAGAAAAAAACAATGATCAATATGAGTCCATACACCAGGAAAGCTTTATTTATATCTTTAGTACGATCAAAACTAGAGTACGCTTCTATTATATGGAACCCCATTTACGGCTGTCATGCCGCCAGATTCGAAAGAGTGCAGAGAATTTGTTCGTTTGCGTTAAGTTCCCTTAACTTTGATGACCCGATGCCCTCATATTTTTCCCGTTGTAAACTTATTCACCTACAAACTCTTGAAACTAGAAGAATTGTCCAGTTGCTGATGTTCGTTTTTGATTTGGTTGTTGGCTCTTTGGATTGTTCGGTCCTTCTGGAGAAGATATCCTTTAATGTGCCTCAAAGATTTCTACGCTCATCTCTGCCGTTTTACTTGCGTGCTACTAAGGCTAACTATTACCATTTTGATCCGATTTTCCGCGCTCTGAAAGAATTTAACAAGATCTCAAAGAGTCGAAATATTGATTTTTCGTTGCCGAGAAATATTTTCAAGTCATCTATTGATTCATTTTTCTTATAACTACTTGTGTATCTGAATCTATAGTATTTAGTTTTAATTATGATAGTCTTATTTTTATCTACTCTGTAAGATTGTAATCATAGACTGAATGAACTGAATAAATACTGAATACTCTTCCATTTGAAGGCAGAAAATTTTAAACAAAATGTTTATTCATAACTTACGAAATACAAAACGCTGAGTGTTTTGTATATGAAGTAGAATACTTAAACCGATTGTACTCTGTTTCGCAAGAAGTGTAAATCAACTCACGATAAAACTATTTTCAGTTTTTTTTATGTTGGTCGGATACTGGGCTTGAACCCAGGCCCTTCGGAATAAAAAATGTCAGTGAAAACTGTATAGTAGGTACTTGCAGACGGTAGGGATTCAAGTCATTAGAACGGTAACAAAATTTCGTACAACACAACTTCAAATGATTATACATATGTACATATGTATGTATTTCCGGCCGCAGAAAAAACCACTGAATGAATATGTGCGATATGCACATACAATATATCGCTTTTTTACTTAAGTATGTCACAAGTCCAATTTTTATCACATTGTTTCATGCTTCATACATATTTAGCCTTATCATGAGTTTAATTTTCGACCGAAATCGTTAACTTTCTCTTTTCGCTTATGTGTATTCACAACGGACAGATAAAAAAATTTCGGGTGAATATGTTTTCGGACGAAACTCAGAATGTACTTGATTGTTTAACCATTTGACATTAAAATCTTTTTAGTTTCCGCGTGAGAAGAAAATTCGGTTTTCCATTTTCTGCATTTTGCGAATCCTTCGACAAATTTGAGCTTGCCCTCTGAGATATAGCGTTGTTTGAGCTTTGGCAGTCTTTTAATAAACGAGCGATATGTACCTATACACGATGCCAATACTGGCAATTCGCTTCCATTGTTGATTTTTCCTCAACTTCATGTAAATTACAAACTATTTATGTACATATCAACTTTTAGCAGAGTATACTACGAGGACTCTGTGTTCGCACAATTCGAATTGCTTATGATTTGCTATTTGCGGTTGCGTTCTTTGTTCGTTATTTTTGTACGTACATATGTATGTACGCACATCCATACATATGCATGTACATGTGTATGTAAGTTCGTTTGTGGTAAGTTCTTTCATTATTGGGAAATCGTCACTCGCTCGTTAGCTTACTCGCAACTCTAGCTGTTAGCCCTTTGGCCTAACTATTTATTTGTAAAAATTCGTTGGCTTCTTAGCCGTTGGACTTGTACTAGTTTAATCGTTGCTCCTATTTTTTCTTTTTCAGTGTCACTGTATTTGTAGTCAGAGTTCCCACTCCTGTTTCCTATTCCGCAGTCCTCGTTGATACTTTCGTGTCGTTTTTGTTCTTGTTGTTCCTGTTGGTCCCCGTATCAGTATTCGTTAAGTTTTCTTTGAACAACCTCGTCAATGATTTTGTCATCTTTAAGGTCGATTGAAGACGTAAAAATCAAATGATATGATTGGAGAAATAGTCAAAGCTTTTGTTGTAGATAATCACTTTCGTTTCGGTTTTTTACTTTTTAATAAAAGACTTTGATTTTTTATTGTCAAAAAACACTTGTACAGTTTTCAAGAGACCTGAAATTATTACTTCAGCCCAAACTTTGAATGAAAGCCTTAAGTATCCTGCAACGTTTTTTTTCCCCAAAATTCATTTATTTTCCAGCTTTCTCTATCCACTTGTTCGAATATTTCTACTTAGTCCACATCTTTTTTGTTTTACTCTTTACTAATTATTCTCCGTGGTCTTCGTGTGCGAGCGTTGATGCTCAATTTCTGGATACCATAGAACTCCTTTCTGTACATATGTATGTATGTATTTTAGTATGTGTGTGTTGTTTGTATATATGTATGTATATACTTATATGTATGTATTTATAATTTTATATGATGTTTTATATATATTTCTCATACATATGTACAGACAAGTGTACATATTTAGTTACTTCAAAAATTTTATTTTTAATAAGTTTGTGCATTCACCTTTTGTTTTCCTCTGCTGCTGCTTCAGACAACAGTTCAGGTGTTTCACTATTTCACTACTCACATTTTGTGACTTCAATCTACACGGGTATGGACGGCACACTTACATACTAATACATATGTATGTATATTGCCCTTCACCCTTTTTAATTAGACGCAAAAATTTTTAAATGCAGACTTGTTAGAACGTTACAAATAAATGCGTTGAAGGTATGCGTTAGTGATCGCCGTATTTTTTTTTTTTGTTTTTTTGTCGCAAAACGTAATTCTCACAATTTTCACAAGAAATTTTCCATTTTATATGCGATACATATAAATTTGCTGCGCTCTAGCTTTGCTGATTTTCGCCGTGCACCACAGATCGTTCCCCCCGCTAGCGCTCTTTCTCTAATATATGTATGTACATACGTAGGTATGTATGTGCATGTATGTATATGCATACATACATATGTATGTGCAAGTGCGTGGAAATGGGATTTGATTTTTTCTTTCACATGCTGGATATAGAAAATTTTTGATACCCAAATTTGCCTGCTGCTTTAACGAGAATTTTTTACAGATATATTTCACTTCATTTTTGTCGTTTTCATTATTTAGATTAATTAAACTTTATAAGCACACAATTGGATATAAATACATTTATTTGTGGGTTAATTTCACGCAATCTCGTTTTATTCGTCAAAAAAAAAACTTTAAATAGCGACTGTTCGTTTAAGTTTTAATACTTCTTTCTTGTGCAACTAGGCATTATAATTATTTTTAATTTTACTTAACGGTTGTTCTGAAAGCGGAATATAGCTATAACTGTTTAGTGAAAATTTCTTTTCGGTAGGTATAAAGTTTTATGTGTGAATTTTTCAGTTTTTCTTCTATGTGCTACCCGTACGAAGAGCACACCGCTGGTGCTCTGTGTGTGCTCGCTCGACGACGAAGGTGCGCTCTGCGGCGTTGAAAATTGCTCGCATCTTTTGGACTCTGTGGAAAATCATCATCAGCGGCATATCCAATCGGGTCGGCAGAGTTGCATAGTCGGTATGGCCAAAAGACGCACGAACCGCATATGTATGTACGTACATAATACATATCTATAATCATACCTTATTGATAGACAGTTCTTGTAGCTGTTCCCGAAAATTGGGAAATCTGCGTTTTCGGCTTTTTGAGAGAGCTTCTCGCCCCAAACGAACACTCCCAAAGAAACTTTTCTGACCACAAAGTTTTTGAATGCACACACATACACAAAATTCATAAACATGTATGAATGTACTTACATACCCAGTGGGGAAAATAGGAATCCATTACCCTTTTCTACCAAGAAAATATTAATAACTACGGTTGAACGAAAAGATGCATCGCAATGTAAGCGAGCGGATGATGTGTAGCTTTGAAGCGACAAACAAAACAAAAATTTTGAAAACTTAGAGCCAATTTACACGACGACTTTTCACCCTGCGTTTTTGGCTCGTTCCCTTTCAAAAAAGTCTTCGAAAATCCTCGTGCATTTACACGATGACTTTTTCTTTGCGGCGTTTCTTGCGTATTTTTGACATTTAAGCGTCCAATTTTCTTTGGTCAACTCTTTCGTCCTCATTTTTAAAGCGGAGCGAATCGTGAACTCAAAGCAAAAATACGAAAAAGTGAACCCGATAAAAGCGAAACGTCAAAAAAACCCCTCGATTTCGCTCACCGTGCGTGCTTGCCTGCCCCGCTGACTTCGCTAGACTTCTTGCCTACAAGCTCGACACGCATGACTTTCCCAGGACACCCAGGGTGAAAAGTCATCGTGTAAATTGGCTCTAACTCAAGTACGTTTTTTGTTCACGTTAACAGCTGCTGTAGCCGAATGGATGCGTGTTCGACTTCCGTGTTGTTGGTCACGGGTTCAAAACCTGTGGCACGGACTTAATTTTTTATTATATTTACAGATTCTATTTATAGTTTCGTAAAGCGAAATTCTTGCATCTTTTCGTGCGTAGGCTATAGGGGCTATCCATTACTTTTTGCATTCGTATAGATTACACAGGTCTGCAAAAAAATGGGTTCGGAATGTTCTATAAAAGTGTAGTGTCATTTCCGAAGTAATTTTTTGCGTAGAATCCGAATCCGGGGTTTAAATTGCTCTATCACGTCAGGACTTTGAGATATCCTAACCTAAAAGTGCAAAAAACGCTGTTTTTGCCCATTTTTGAGGTTATGTAGCTACGAAGATTTTGCTCTTCATAAAAAAGTAGACGTGGTATTTTAAAGTATAAGTCTTCCTCTTTTAAATGCCGTTGAGTTTGCTTAAATATCTTTATTTTTCACTGAGATATCGCATTTTGAAGTTTCCATGTTTGTGAATTTTTCGATATTCGAAAATCCATTGAGATAACATGAGACGTGATACGGTCGATTACATTCACAAACATGGAGACTTCAAAATGCGATATCTCAGTGAAAAATTAAGATATTTGAGCAAACTCAACGGCATTTAAAAGAGGAAGACTTATACTTTAAAATACCACGTTTACTTTTTTATGAAGAGCAAACTCAAAAATGGGCAAAAACAGCGTTTTTGCACTTTTAGGTTAGGATATCTCAAAATCCTGACGTGATAGAGCAATTTAAACCCCGGATTCGGATTCTACGCAAAAAATTACTTCGAAAATGACCCTACACTTTCCTAGAACAAAACGTTGTTGACCTGTGTTACCTTTTCCCGCTGGGTATTTATGTACATATACATACGAGTTTCTGCATGAGCTTTATTTATACGCCACACTTCCCACCAGTACAGAGCTTTCTAAGGAAACTTTACAAGAGTACATCCATGTGATTCCGTTGTGGAAATCCACCCTTACTCTCATTCACTCTCCTTATCCCAATCACCAACATAGCGGGTATACAAAGACTCAGCACAAAAATGTACCTGTTGGAAGTAGTCGGCGATTTTCAATAATTTGCTTGCAATCAACTATGTATGCACAAATGTATGTTTTGCATGTACCTACATATTTATGTATGTATGTATTTAGTACATCTAAGTACGCACACATATTACTACTCTGCTGTCTCTAAAGCTTCGAATCCTTGTTTCTCTTATGTTTAGTAAATTTTGGTTCTTATCTATGCAGCTTTTCGTTGCCGTAGTCGTACGGCGAAGTCCTATTCGCTTCATCATTGGATCAAGTAAAGAACTACATACAATATAACCTATACACTGAGAAAATTGTACGGTTATTTTCGGTCTGTGCTATTTATAAATCAGTCAATCACTTACACAGTCCAGTACATCATTAATATTTTGATTTCACTCCTAAACCAATTCAACAAATGGCGGCCTTTGACATTTGTTCTTCTCCTTCTTCTTCTAGCTAATATCTGCTAGTAAAAATTTCACTAGCAAGAATTTGCAGCTCTCTCATGTTGGTACGCTCTCGATTCAGTGCTCTCTTGCAAACTTTCTGTGTTATTATACACTTCTCCAAAAAAAAATTTGCAGGTTCCAGTACAAATTAGTACCGACTATTTGTTACTATACACACCTACTATTTTGATTCCAGGCGAATTCGTACACGGTGACAGCGGCGGCGCAAAAACCAAATCTACACTAACAAATTATATGCACGATGATAATCAGAACACAAAAAATGCTCACAAACAAATCATTTTGATAACTACCACAATTAATCTTGAAACCAGTCGCTTCGGTAACACCGCTACCTTAGCTTTGATTGGAAAATAGCTTTGGTACGAGTTGCGTTGAATAATAAATTCCATGTTATTTAATAATAAGTTTATATTTTATGGTTTTAAAAAGGGATTTGAAAATGTGCGTGTTAAAAACTTAAAAAAAAAACTTTTGAAAATCAATTTAAAATGTTTATTTACAAAACTGATATAAATATTTTGAGTCAAAACGTTTTTGAAAATAAAACGTTCCATAATAAATTGAAAATGTAAATTTATCTGTGTACGAAGGGAAAAAGTAAAGCAAGGAATTGGCAATGGGGTGTTTTTTAGATAGTAACTACAAAAAAAATTTGTAATAAAATGCATAATGTTACCACGTATCACCACCGTTATCTTCGAACTTACATACGTTTCTCTGATTTACTTGGTTCCTTTAGGGGTAATTTAAACTAATACTGTTGGTTTTTTAAGTAAAAAATGCAGTTCTAAAATAAAATAAATCTCGACTTACTAGAAAAAAAACCAAAGAAAGTTAGATTTCGTAGAAAGAAAATTGTTGGTACATCACTATGTATTATATAAGGGATTTGTCTTATTTGTTATTACCCTGAAGGTATTGCATTCTTTTTTCGTTTTAAAAAATCGAATATATTTAACAGGATCTCAGTATTAAAGTAAAAGATATACTTTGTTACCAGCTTATGAGATGGTTACAAACTTTATCGGTTACAAGAGTATACAGAATGCGAAAAGGGTTTAGAAATTGACAGGAACTTTATTTATCGGTTACACAATTTTTATTACCAGCGCACAATAACCTGTTAGTTACGACTTCACAGATACATACACTTAACAGCAAAAATCTGCATACACCATTTCTTTTTTAAATATGTGTTCGCAATATTTTGCAAGCTAAAATTTGTATGTTATTTTTTTATAGAAGTATGAATGAAACTTTTTTTACTTAACCTTGTTTTATCTATATACATAGTATAAAGGGAAGTCGAGATTCTCTGTACGCGGTAATCTCGAAACTCGACTACTGAACTGATTTTGACGAGATTTTCTCTAATATACTCTGTATCGACTTGAGGGATCTTTTTTACTTAGAATTTTAATAGCGTTGCCACCTCTTTAAAAAACTAAAAGATCAATTCTAATGGGCGTAGGCGTCAGTTCTGCACCGTCACTGTCAAACGAAAAGACTTAGCCTCTGGATGTGTAAGAACGCATTATTTTTCTGAGTAGGGTTACCACCTGTTTAAAAACTATAAGATCTTCACCGTTCGTTGGATAAAAAAAGGATATACCAAGTGAAAGTGCATGGCCTTCGCATGTACAAAAACTTTAAGTTTTTGTGACTTATTTTGCTTTTTTTGCAATACCTAGTGCCTTTTCCTGCCGTTTTCGCTATTTTGTTTTGCCTTTTTTATAGGTTTTTAGGTCCTAAAAATCCGTTCCCTGATGATGACTTATGATTTCTTTCTCCAAATACGTAAATGTACATACATACATACATATGCATACATTCAGCGGCTAGTATTTTTATATGAGGAAAATGCGTAGAACCGTCAGGAAAAAAATTATTAAAAATCAACGCAATTTTTTAGCCAATTAATTTCGACACATCATTTTACTAAAATTGAATGGGCTACAAAACTACGAACCAGAATTTTTTTTAATACCTGATTGAAAAGTTGAAGATTTTAATGAGACTTTCGTTGAAACCTTGATATACACGATTTTGATTTAAGCATGATCCATATTTTTATAAAACAAAAAAAAAACTTTAGCTTGCAAAATATTGTGAATGTTTAAAAAGGAAATGGTGTATACAGACTTTTGCTGTTAAGTGTATATGTAATTCGTTTTGTTGTATAACAACGTTTCAAAAATTAGTTCTCAGCATCGCCCTCTATGAATCGAGCCCAGTATGCATCTCAGCAAACAATTAATATGAATAAAGTAAAATGTAAAGTTTCAAGTATGTATTTATTTTATCGTTAACGAATAGCGGTAATGTATAATTTAATGTAGTATTTAAAACTTCAGACGACGTAAGCTTGTTTATACATATGTATAACTCAGTGTCTCTGGAGAGACCATCATTTACTTATCCGAGGCCGTGGTCATCGAAAAAGCCCTGTGGAGTCTCGTCCTGAAACGAATAGCAAATGGTTTCAAACATAAGTCTACGGGACCAGTGTAAATGTGTGTAAATTATACGAGTTTTTAATGTTATAAATCCGAATGATTAA